GGGAGGCCATGGCATGCTACCACTTGAGTTGCCATGAGGGGAGCCATGACACTACTCCCCTCATGCAGAGCTTGGGCCTCACCACCATCTGAGTTGTTATGGAGGAAACCATGCCACCACTTCTCACCTCGCCACTATCTAAGTTGCTAGCCATGGTGCTGCTCCCTTTCATGTGGCAGCTCAATTCATGATTGATTCCTATGATTAAGATTGCCACTAAAACTACCATAGCATCATGCTTTTGCAACAAATCACACTTGCCCAGCTTAAGCAGCTATGCTAAGAACTCTAACCCAATTTTAATGTTGACATCAACCCTAGAAACCTTTAAAACTTTAAATAAATTTTTGGAGAAATTTTTATAAAGAGTGTTTTGATTTTCCCTCATTTTAGGTACAATTAAAGATCCAATAATGAGTGATGTTGTGATGGCAATAATGAAATATCAAGAGAGAGAAATGTTGCTAGAAATAGAATGACGGATAGAGAAAAGATCCTTATGTGCTTTCTTTAAGTTTCATTTTGATTGGGTTAGAATGTTGCAAAAGGCTCAAGGTATAATATTGTTTTAGGTTACTATGATAAAGATATTTTTAGGTGGGAAAATATTTCACACCAAATCAGATTGTAGAAGTATATTTTCAACTAAAGAAGCTTATAATAGGTTCAAATGATGCCTCAACCTAGAGTAAAGAAGTTTTTTCTTTAATGACAAATGAGAAAGAGTTGTGTGCACCCTTGGGAAAAACAAGTTTTTCAATGGCAAATACAACAAAAATGTAAATATAAAAAAATATGTGGGTAGTGGATTTATATTTGAGCTACTAAAGACTATGAAAATTGCAAGCAAACTAATTTGAAGTAATTATGTGGGAACTCTTGTGAACCAATCCAAACTTTCTAAATACTATAATAGAAACTTAGTGTTTAAGCTTCCACCTTCTCAAAATTCTATAGAGGGGATGCATTAGGACCAAGATGGGCATGTTTAGGTGAAATTTATGGCTTGGAGAGTTGATTATTTTGCTGGAAGAGTCTGAAGGAGTAACTATGTTAGATTTTTTTAATGTTTCAAATTAAACTACTTATATTATGATTAGTTTTAAGAGTTTAATTGCAAAGAGTTTCATAACATATTCCATATTTGACCTAAACGTGGTGAGGTACTTATAGCACTTGCAAAGAGTTTCCACGATGAAGGAGAATGTGGAGCTCATATCTTTAAGTTATCTGAAATAATATGATGTTTACTAGAGCAACAATTCATGTTAATTAATATAATCATCAAATGGGGAATGGGATATATTTAGAGTATTTGGACGTGGTTATATCTATTATTTCAAAGGTAATATATTAATCTTCGAGTGCTCAACTTGCATTATAACTATTAAAGTAGTAAATGAGTTGACTATTCAAAATTTCTTGTGATTAATTTCAAACACTTTGATGCCTTCACTTTAACAATTGAGTAAAACACTAGATAGTCTTTCAGCACTTACTAGCAAATAAAAGTATATTTAAAGAGTATCTTTAGTAAACTAATCATAGTATAGTAAAAGTATAAGTAAATACAAAAAATTTATAAAAACATACTTTATAAAACATGAAGTGATAGTGTGGACTATGAGGGCAGTGCCTCAAATTGCAAAGAAGGGTTGTTAATTGTGATTTGAAATGGTCAGCTTAAGGCTCACAAAAGTGGCTGCAAATCAACTTGGTGTTGGAGAATGTGCAGCGAAGAATGGGGGGAAATGCAAGTGGCCAAAATGGCTTGAGCATTTACAACTTATGCAAGGATTACCTCATAACAAGGCAATGGCATTGAGCTTGGGCATTGTGATGGTGAAGAGGGAAGTGTTTCAAATAGGATTGCAAGTGGTGGAGTAATTGCCACAGTAGAAGCAAGGGCAAAAGTATTATGATGGTTTTGGAATTTTTAGGTGGTGTGGATGGGAGGTGGTGTTAGAGCTAGATGTTGTGTTTGGTGTTTAAGTAGCTGTAAAGAAGAATTGGGTGCTATTATTTGTGCATTGAGCCACATGAGTTATATGAGCCACAATTAGGGTGGAAACCTTGTTATAGTAGGGTTGGACAACTTGTGTGTCGATCACTAGGTTATTTCTTAGAGCAAGGGAATGTTGTGGAGGATTGCCTTAGTTGCTTAAATCATGACAAAGATGGTGAGGGCAATCGTCTTAGGAATGTAGGCTTTGCATATTACAAATGCCCCAGATGGGTTGATACTCAACTAGTTGCAAGAACATGTAGGGCTTAGCAATCATTTCAAGATCAGTGGTTAAATGTTGAAGGTTATTAAAGATTGAAGGAGGTAACAAATTCCCAAGGTAGCCACCCTAAAAGGATTTTTGCTAAGTTGGAAGCAAGGAAGAAGGCGGCAAAAGAAAATATATCTAGGTGCTAAGTTCTGGCATAGTGGCTTGAAGTTTTACATTTTCTATTTGCAAGTGTAAAGTAGATGATAGATTTGGAATTAGATTGTATCCTAAAGAAGTATAGAAAAATAGTTGTAATAGTGGTGGCAGAAAATTATATGCCATGTGTTCTTTTGTCTTTCTGTCTTTGTCTCGTCCTATAAAGTGTTTACAATTATGATCACTATTTAATCCTGAAAATATGGCCACACTACTTAGTATAGCTCTCCTCACTTGAACTCTATAGGTTTAGGTGACAAGATTTGGGTAGTGCACTAGAAATGACAATTGAGAAACACCCAAGTCTTTAGAAGTGAGACACTAAATCTCACTCCCTTTACAATATTGTATAGACAAAAATCTATATTATAGTCTTTCATGATTTATGTACAAATGCCTTCCCAATGGTAGTGACTATATGGTGACTCTTGACTTGACCATCAGCTATGTGGCATATGTAAAGAATATTTTAGAGGATCTATAGTTATGTTTTCAAAATATTGGTGGATGGTATTGAAAATGGAGTTGCTCTTGTTAAGAAGATGTAGCTACACATGGATTTACAATACTTATGAATGTGCTTTGACCATACATATAAAATTCCCAAGTGGTCTACAATAACTACCACTATTATAACCCTAGGTAAATGTATACTTGTTCACTAATAATGATCCTTTATGTAGAGCACAATCCTTAATGGTGATAGTTGTTTGTGAGATGAAAGGAGAAGATATGCTAGCTTTAGTTCTTTTTTGAATACTGCTAAACAAAATATATCAAGTTAGATCATAATCTTCAACACCATCAATAAGTGAGGAAACACAAATAAATTGGTAAGTTATTAAAACTGTATACAATAGTGGTCCAAATAAGGTTTTAATCAGTTAAGAGAAGAGTTATCTTTTCCATTGGGAGCAAAGTTTACATGAACACATAGAGAAATGCATTCAAGTTGAATACTATGATAAACATAAATGGTTGTATTGAAGTTTAAAACTACAAACACTTTAGAAGTTGTAAAAAAGTAGTACAAGTTAATATATTTATGGTGGGCTAAAGGTAAAGTAATTTTAGGATTATAGACTTGGTTGGCATGGTATTTATTTGTTTTCCACATTGGAGACTTTAGTTATTTCTCATATGAGCAAGTAATAATATTAATATTTTTTATTAATTTTCTTTTTTTCATAGATAAAAATAGATGTTGCCTAAGTTCTAATAATAAATATTTTATTAAGAGTTAGTGGCTATAAAAAACAAGTAACTCTAAATATGTAACTTTATTTGAAGCTTGTTGGACATTTCTATCCTACAATAAGCATTTATGCATGCTTATATAAAAGGCTAAGTTATAGGAAATATATCAAATTTTAAAGATTTAATAACACACTTATCTGTTATAATATCAATATGACTTCTTTGATCACAAACTCACAGAAGTGATAAAATCGTCCTTAGATGATTTTGGAATTCTATTTACAAGAAAACTAATTAAGAACCTTGAAACTGTCAAAGGAAGTGATGAGTAAATAAAATAATGCAGCTGACAACTTTATATTGTCCCGAGTACAACTATGTCACTAGAGAACAAAGAGGACCAATACTACTAAATAACTATTTTACTTAAGCACTTCCAAGTTAAAAAATAAAAGATTTATTAGATTGAGTGGGCTATATATCAACCTGGAGTAGGATGTACAATCAAGTATCTTACCTAGATTAAAGGAAAATTGTGTGATAAGTAGATTGTTATAGAAACTTTATACACTTCAGCCCTTTATTTTTGGAAACAATGATAATATGTTAATCCTCTGCAAAATTAATCAATTTATATGGTTTTGTCTAATGAAAATTTTACACACATGGTATGTTATAGAGTAAATTATTCAAAAACAGCTTTAGTTGAAGTAAGCTTTAAATTTGAAAAGAACACTTTACAATTATAACCATAAATTTAACTTCAACACTTTTCTCAAGGCATGGTCATAATTGCATTTATATATACTTCCTTCAACATCCTTACAAGTATATATATTTTATTTATTGTATGCTTCTTGGGATGGATTTAAATGTTCACCTTTGGATTCATCACCCTATGATATTTGAATATGAGGTGTTCATGACATTGAAAAAAAATTAAATATTGGTATTATATTTGAATTTAATATAATATAAATAAATTTTATTTATAAATTACACTATAGGGCATTTCTTATAATTAACACAAAGGGATTTTACAGTAATAATAAAATATTTCATATAAATATAAATTATAAGAGAATTACTATAATAGTAAATTAAATATTAAAATAATAATTTATTCTGTAAATTAGGTGATAGATACACAGATCTAAATATTATTAAAATCATTAATTGTTTAAAATACCTATTTAATAAACTAAAACCTTAATAAAGTATTCTATCATGTACCTATTAATCTGGCTCACTGTGTTGGCAGATCTATCCATCCAAAGGAACCAAAACTTGTACTAGCCGCACAATGATAGCCATGACAACTCTTAAAGAATAAAAAACAGGATGCTTATTTATATATGACATTGCTAATCATAAAGCCAAAAGAATAGAAAAATTATTGAAACGCTAATGCCCAAATTTAACAGTTTGGACAAGTACATACAAATTTAATGTGTGAAAGAGCTATTGTGCTTTGTTGGAATATCTGCCATTAGTTGCAATCTTTACGCCCATATTCCAATAATCGACATGAGGATTGCTCCGAGGAGAAGTGACGAGTAGCCCACAACTTGGCGTGGAATGCTGGTGAAGAACTCCTTGCTCAGGAAATCAGTAGCGATCAAGTCCACGAGAGCCATGTAAACCAAAATCCCCGAGGACGTGGAGTTGAAGAAGCCTTGTATAAGCAGCGCCTTGTGATCGAACTCATTGTACGTGGAAGCGATTCCAAGCCCGATCGCCATCCCAGCGGGCGTTGTAAAGCTGAAGAAGAAAGCCATGATCGCTTGAGTTTTGATCGTGAAATCGCCCAGGCAAATGCATCCACCGAGTGCCATCCCCTCGAAGAACTGGTGGAAGCACAGTGCCGCGATAAGGGGCCTGATTGTGCAAGGGCTCTTCAAAACACCCATGCCAATACCAATCACAACCGAGTGAGTGATGATTCCAAGCTCCAACACCTGTGCGTATCCATGAAACCTTTAGACGTATGCGACAGTCCACGATCAAAGACATTGCAAGCGCCCAAGCACAAGTCTAGACAATTCTTGCAACTATAGAACAGAATTCAATCGAGGTTGTAACCTTGATCGATCCAGAACCCCAAACTCACGAACTCAACTTTAGAGATCATGGAGAGATAACTCACCTGAGCTATAACTTTGTTGCGAGCTTCCGCGCTCACGCCAATATCGAGAGTATGCGAGTGCCCGCCATGGCCACGAGGTTCTACAACCGCATTGCCATTATTGCTAGCTGTGGTTGCAAGCTCCAGATCATTCTTTTGATCCTTGTCCATCCCCGCATTGAGACGAGTGTAGTACGTCATGCCCATGGTGTCCATGCACAGCGTGAAGATGACGGCGAGCATGGCGATGAGTCCCGCGAATGGGAACTTCCCCCACGGCATCTCGGGCAGGCAATCGCTGCCGAGCGTGTCAAACGACTCGGGCAGCAAGTGCACGAAGCCCGTGGCGAGGATGATCCCGGCGGAGAAGCATCGACCCGCGAAGAAGAGCCTGCCTTGCGTGAATCCCTTGACGAGCAGCGGCACGGCGACGCCCAGGATGGAAGTGATGAGGATCGCGAAGAGGGCGCCGACGTTGAGGCGCCTGGCGGCATCGGCGTCGATGCAAGAGGTCGCGTCGCTGATACACACAGCAGACATTCTCCTCGATTGGAATTGGATCGATCGATCGAGTTGGAATTGGAATCCGGGTTGGATGGAATGGAGCTATAGATTTTGTGTACTAGAGCGTACTATCAAATGTACGAGTGGTGTTTTTAAATGCTTTACGCGGCGCGAAAGTCAAACTACCCCGTGCTGGCCCGAGCGGGCGTACGCTCGGCTGTGGCAACCTCAGTCAACGCCCACCACCATAGCCAAGTTTGCCCTACCTAGAGCACGCATGTTCGTATTTTTTAGGGGAATCCCATGCGCGGTCCAGTTCTTTGCTGGAACAGTCTGGGTGCTTTCGAAAGATGTGATTTTGATGATGTAATCCTTGGTCCCAGCAGCAGCAAAAGTGGTGGAAGAGGAGAAGAATTCAGCTGGAGTTGGAGGGTCCGAACCAAACAACTTGAAAACGAGCGCAGTGCTAAGACAATAGAAAAACAATCTGCGAGCTTCCTTGATCGAGTGAAGGCGATGGAAAACTCACCGCGTTTCGAGCGAACGCGATGGAAAACTCACCGCATTTGCATTTGAGAGCTTTTTCTTCTTGAATTTCTAGGAACAAGTTCTTGGTAAAGCTGGACTATCACGAAGAAAAGCTTGTCTGCTCTGCGAGACCAAGGAAAAACATTCTTTTAACTTGATGGGGGCCAACTTGATTGGCAAAGGCCAGGCATCCATTTATTGCATCGCACAGAACATCTGATTTTCCCCTGTGTGGAGTAAAATCATCCAGGCGAGTCACTGGAACCAGAAAGCATGATCTCTGCTGCTTTGAAAGCTCAAAAAAAAAAAAAAAAAAGAACTAGCTGTTAAACCTTCGTGGGTTTCAATGTTTCTTTTCTGGGGTTTACAAGAATGAAGCGGCATTTTCTTCCGGGAGGAGCGGCGCCACCAGGACGAACGAATCCATGATCTCCAGCTCCAAGGTAAGAACACCCATCTGGATTTGAAACTGGGCTTTCTTGTGAAGGGCTTTTGTCTCCTTGCGTCACAGAGATCATGGGTTTTTTTGTTTTCTTTTTGCTCCTCCCTGGATCTGAGTCTTGGCTCTTGATCTTGACTGGGTCATCAGAGCTGCTGTCCATCCTTTTTTTCCTGTTACCTCGCTTTTCTTTTCCAAGCATGAAAGTGTTGGATCAAATGTGGTTTTCACTCAGGTCGTCTGAGCATCTTGTCTTGTTTGCACAGCAGCCATTTCACGGCCGTGTGTTTGTGTTCTTGAATCATGTACATGTGAGCTCATGTCCTTCCTCGTGGCCACTGTCGGTGCGAGTTTTTGGATTTTTAGCTCGGCACAGCGTTCTGGTGTTTCAACTGTGCATGAAAACGAAAGTACGCAAGTTTGTGGTGATGTGTACCTTGACCGGTTTTGTTCTTGTGCAAAGTTGAGCTTGATTCCCTGCTTGCTTTGATCACGACATCTTCCAAAGAGTTGGAGGGTGGAAATAGAAAAACCACTGATGGCTCTCGCTCTTTTGCTTCTTCAGCTTAGAGAAATGGTCGAGCACGGTGTGGAGAATGGTTAATGGATGGAGCAGTGATACCAAAAGGAATACTCTTTTTTTGCATTCGAAAGGAAGTGCTGGGGCCGGAGATGGTGATATGATTTGTTTGTGGGCCTCGACACGACGTACCAACACTCGCAAAGGCAATATTTTTTTCGGCACTGTAGCCCTTCGAGGTGAGCGACCTCTCTCTAGATCTTGTTCTTGTTCGTCTTGCGCGTTTGGAGATGACTTGCTTTCTTGCATTGGGCTGGTGTGGTCTGGATCCAGATTTCATGATCTTCATCCGTTTGATATGATTCTTTCCAAAAAAGTGTTTTTTCTCCTTTCATTCTTTAGTCTTTCACTCACTCGATTTTGAATTCGAGCGATAGTGCCAGTGGTACTTTCTTTGTTTGAGATCTGCGATGGTGGACGAGCTGGAGATGAGGGTGATTTGAGTCGAGAGTGGTCTCTCCTTGCTTGCTCGAGTTTGTATCCTTGCGGCATTTGGATTCTTGTGGTACCAGTCATATTCTTGAGCTTGGCGGTGTCTACCAATATACGCTCGGCATTCTCATTCAAGTTCGTGGGTCTGTTTCTTTCAGAGCATCAGATCTGTCGTTGGTAACCGAGAGTAGAGGAAGAATCAAAGAGGAGAAGAAAAAAAAATGGCACAGAGGGTCGCTCGAGGAAGGGTCGCCATGGATTTGAAGCTCTCCATTCTCTCAGCATTGAACAAGCTAGCAGACAGGGACACACAGCAGATTGCCACGGACGAACTCTTGAGGATTGCCGAAACCCTCCAGCCGGACGGGATTTCCGTGTTCCTGGGATGCCTCTACGAGATAAGTTCGGACCAGAAGAGTGTAGTTCGCAGGGAAGGCGTGAAGCTACTCGGAATCCTGGCAACTTTGTATGGAGATTTGCTCACTCCACACCTCCAGAAGATCATAGCGTCGCTCGTCAAGAGGCTCAAGGAGCCCGACTCCAACATCAGGGACGCTTGTGTGGATACTTTCGGAACTTTGGTCGCTCACGTCCCGGCTCCGGCGTCCCTGGCTAATGGTGGCAGCGGTGGTGGAAACCAGGATCAAGTTGCTTTCTCGGGGCCTGTGGGTGTTTTCACCAAGCCGCTGTTTGATACGCTCAACGAGCAGGCGAGGAGCGTCCAGATTGGTGCCGCGATGTCGCTTGCCAGGGCCATGGATAATGCTCGAGACTTGCCACCCGCTTGTACGCAGCGGCTTTGCGTGAGAATTCTCAAGTTCCTTTCCAGTCCCAACTTCAACGCCAAGCCAGCTTTGTTGCCGTCTCTCGGTGGACTTTCTCGGGTATGTTCTAAAGCTTTGGCTTTTTTCTACTTCGTTACGTCATGCTTGCTTTTCTACTACCTATGCTATGCTCGATCTCTCCCAATTTTTTTTTTCATGCTATTGTGTTCTTATTGTTGTGTGCTCAAGTTTTGGTTTTTCTTTCCCATTTTTGCTTCCAAGCTTTGGTTTGTGCCTGAATTTTTGGTTTTTTACTTGGTTGTCTTCGAGTCTACGTCGTCGGATGATCGATCTCTAACGTAGATTTTCGCGAACGGGTGGTGGATGGCTTGCAGGCATCAGGTGTTGGGATAACTCTGCATTTAGCAGCTATTATAGCGTCCTTGCAAGAGTCGCTGCAGAGCAGCGACTGGGCAACGCGCAAGGCTGCCGCGGATACTTTCGCCTCCGTCGCATTGAGTGTCGGAGGACCACCTTTGACCAACTTCAAGTCATCGACCATGGCGCTTTTGGATTCATATCGTTTTGACAAGGTTTCGTGGATCAACCTCTTGTTGCTTGTTTTCTACTTTTTTATGTTCCTGTTTTTGTTTTGTTTCAGGTGAAGCCGGCTCGGGAATCTGTCGTTGATGCTATCCACATCTGGAAGAATGTTCCTGATCCTCCCGTGGTGGATTCGTCTCCTTCCAGGACCGTTTCCACGAAAAGTAAGTCGTTTGTATACGCTTCCACAGCTTGACGTGATCGAATCCCTGAAACTTCACAGGTAATGACTCGAACGGAACGCTGAAATCATCTTCCAACCGGAAGCACTTGACGAGTGACCTGCTACGGAGTTGCAGTCCCAATCCCGCTACGAGTGCTCAAGACAAAGGATCCGTGAAGAAGAAGACGACGGGCTCGTCCGGTGTTTCGGAGCGAAAGACCAACTTAGATTTCTTCCGGAAACTCTCCATCCGGAACTCGGACGATTGGCAGATCGAGGTGGCTGTTCCTCGAGGGTCTCCGCCAGCTTCTCACAACAAGGAGAATCACGAAGAGGCGGCAGTGGTGACGCAGCAGGCTCTGGACAAGCATATCCCCGTTCCCGCTGGGAAAGTCGCGGCGGTGGTGAACGCGTTGAGCAATGGTAGCTTGAGTGAAAGTCACGAGGAGAAAGACAAGCTCGGATTTAACAGGAGGCCGAGTGAGGTGGTGACGAGCAAGTTCGAAGCCGTGGAGACAAAGCCGCCCGTGGAAGAAGTGAGAAGCATCAACAAGGCCACGAGTAATGGATGGTCTCATCACTCTCACTCTCAGCAATCACAGCAGCAGCAGCAGCAGCAGCAAAAGCAAGTCGACGCAAGCAACTCAAGCAGCGAGCAGCAGAAGAAGAGCGAGGATTTAGTTTCGATAGGACGTCAGCTCTCACAGCTCGAGAAGGGGCAGTCGGACTTGATGGAGATGCTCCAGGTAAGTAGCCATTCTCGTTTTCTTTTTTTTTTAATCTTGGTTTTCTTGCAGGAGTTTATGGGAAACAGCCATGAGAACACCTTGAATCTTGAGTCTCGGGTCCAGAGATTAGAGAGAGCTCTAGAAGACATGGCACGTCTCACAGCCGCTTCCATTGGAATTTCTAGGAACAGCTTCTTTGGAGACGAAGGTGGCGATCATATGCCGGAGGTAAATGGCTCAGCCGCGACCACGAGAGTGGCAGGCTACTTCCCGGACAGATCTCCCATAGGCAGCAACAACAGGTTCTTCAGAGAAAACAGTGAAACTTGGAATGAAGTCTTCCGAGCCGGGAGAGCAAATGGTCGATCTAGTCACATTGAAAACCAGGATGGCTCGGAGCGTAGCAGCGGCAGAGCTCACAACACCAGCAATGGCGGTGGTCGCCTCGTCGGCGAAGGCCCGTCGGCTAGAAGTGTTTGGAGAGCCTCCAAGGACGAAGCTACTCTGGCCGCGATACGAGTTGCCGGCGACGTTGGCGGTGGCAATCCCCTCTGCGAGGCCGACAACTTGAAGCTCTTAAACTCTGCCGGATCCATGGAAGCCAGCTCCGAGAGCGCGCAGGGCGGTGGAAATGGTGGTGGCAACGCTCACCACCATCAACTGAACGGGAGCTCTTGGAACGTTTGGAGCCGGATCATGGAGAGCTTGCAGTCGGGAGATCTGGACTCGGCGTACGAGGAGGTGATTTGCACCGGGGACGAGCTTCTCATGGTTCGTCTCATGACCAGGACCGGCCCCGTGCTGGACCAGCTCTCGAGCGAGACGGTCTCGGAGTTACTCCATTCCATCTCCCAGTTTCTGCAGCAGCCGGGCTTTGTGGATTGCGCCTTGCCTTGGATTCGACAGGTACGCACACAAATCTCTTGTTTTTTCGGAGTGTTTCTCACTCGAGGATTGGATCCTTTCTTTGCAGCTGACGGAGCTGTTTCGAGCGAACGGGCCTAAGTGCTTGGCTTTGTCTGCCCAAGTGAAGAAAGAGCTGCTTTCATCCATGCACGAAGCGTCCATGCTGGATTTCCCAGACCGGTGGATGGCTGGAGCTGTGACGAAGATGGCGAATCAACTGGGGAGTTCGTGGTCCATGGTGGGAGGACTCGATTGATCAATCAAAGCGAGAGATTTGTAAATAGATATTCGTTCTCCTAGGGTTAGGGTTTAAGCCCTAAAAAAGATTGTCACTCAGTTAGGGTTTCACCCAAAGATGTATTTTTCCGAGCTGTCAACAACCTTTAGATAGGGACAAATAGGTACCTCTTCATAGTAACCACATGTTGCTAAACAATTTAAAACGTGCCAATACTTTTTACCAGTCACAATCTCAGGCATTGGCGGGGGATTTAAACTCGTCCATCTTTCTTGTGGCAGCAAACGCTCTTGGGCAGAGGAGCAAAGAAATGGAGGCCACTTTGATCTCCAAATTCTCCACTGTCACGCACTTCGAGCTTCCGCGGCTTCCCAACAACATCCCATTCGCCTACCACCCGCAATCCGCGACGATCAGTGCCCAGATCGACGAGTGGATGCTTCGCAAGATGAAGATCACTGACCAGAGTGCGAGGAAGAAGATGATCCACTCCAAGATCGGACTGTACGCCTGTATGATGCATCCCAATGCCGAGAGGGAGAAGCTCGTCCTGGCCGGTAAGAATCTCTGGGCCCTCCTCCTCATCGACGATTTGCTCGAATCCAGCAGCAAGGAAGAGATGCCTCGGCTCAACACCACCATCTCCAACCTTGGCAGTGGAAATTCCAGGGATGGAGCTATCCGGAATCCTGTGCTGCTTCTGTATGAAGAAGTTCTGGGAGAGCTTCGAGCTGCCATGGAGCCACCTTTGCTGGACCGCTACTTGCACTGCCTGGCAGCTTCACTCGAAGGCGTCCGGAAGCAAGTCCACCACCGAACCAAGAAGAGCGTCCCTGGACCGGAAGAATATAAGCTCACCCGTCGTGCCAATGGATTCATGGACATTCTCGGGGGCATCATGACCGAGTTCTGTATGGGAATCCGCCTCAACCAAGCTCAAATCCAGTCTCCAACCTTCCGGGAGCTCCTCAACTCTGTGTCTGATTACGTCATTCTCGTCAATGACCTGCTGTCCTTCCGGAAGGAGTTTTACGGTGGCGACTATCACCACAACTGGATCTCGGTTCTCTCGTTCCATGGCCCCCCCGGGATCAGCTTTCAGGATGTGATTGACCAGCTGTGTGAGATGATCCAAGCAGAAGAGCACTCAATCCTGGCCTTGCAGAAGAAGATTGCCGACGAAGAAGATAGCGACTCGGAGCTGACGAAGTTTGCAAGTGAGCTTGCAATGGTTGCTTCCGGGAGCCTCGTGTGGTCGTATCTCTCTGGCCGCTACCATGGCTATGATAATCCACTGATCACTGGGGAGATTTTCAGTGGAACATGGCTGCTGCATCCCGTGGCCACCGTCGTCTTACCATCCATCAAGGCTCGAGATACATTGCTGGGGCTCAAAGTTCCGGTTCGACTACCTTGAAGGTAAGATGCGTCGATCAAAGTAAACGAGCAAACTTAATAAAATTCTTTGCTTACCAAGGCCCTGGTATGATCCTGCGTTGCTCCTCCAGCATTCCTACGCTACCATAGATGTTAGCCATGAGGGCAAACGCTGGGGTGTGGCTGGGATTTATCTTGAGCAGCGACTCAAAAGCATATCTTCCGGTTTTTCACGTCTTTCCACTTCCAGCAAGCTCCCAGTATCCAAGTCACCAACGTTGGCTTGAAAGGCATGCTTTCGATCATCCCAAGTGCTTCCTCCAGATGATTTGCACGTCCCAAGAGAAGTGGTAGTGCTCGAGGCTTTGTGCGATGCCATGCTCGGAGAGCATCGCAAAGTACTGCTTCCCTCGTTGTACCAAACCACCATGGCTACACGCCGAGAGCACGCATAAGAATGTGACACTGTCAACCTGGACACCGTCCTCCCGCATGCTCTCGAATGCTTGGAACACACAGCCATATCCTGCTATCAGAGCGCTCCAAGTGATGGAAGTTCTCGTTGGAAGCGAGTCGAAAATGCCGCTGCTTCCAGACTTCCCGTAAAAGTCGAGCACTTGGCTCATTGTCGTTTCGAGAAATCTCTACATGGATGGTCTCCCAGAATCAAGAGCAGCCAGGTTGCCGCATGCGAGAAGAACAGCCACGTACGTCTGCGAATTCGGTGCACAGTTGCGCGCTCTCATTTGCTCAAACAGCTTCAAAGCTGCGTCTGCTTCGCCGTTCTCTGCGTACCCCTGAATCGTCCAAGTTGCTACGTCGTGTCCTGTTTTGATCCCGTCAAACACTGCTCTGGCGCTCGCTAAGCTCCCACATGGCGCGTACATGTCGATGAGTCGCCACGAACATGTCCGAATCAAAGCCAAGTTTTGCTGCTCGGGAGTGTAGATGAGTTCCTTTCTGGGCTTCACGACGTTGCCATTAACGTGCTTGCCTTCGTCTTTCGTGGCTAGACGACCGCAGGCAACGAAGAGAGCCACGAAGATTCGGGGGTTTGGCAGACAGCCCTTCTACTCCATGAGCTGGAAAAGCTGCAAAGCGAGCTCCGGCTCACCATTCTCTGCATAGCCGAGTATCAGTGCCGTCCATGAAACAACCTGGACTTACCATCTTGTCAAACACCTTGCGAGCATCAGCCAAGTTCCCACACTCGGCATGTATATCAATCAGAGTGCTGGCCACGAGCACGTCCTCGTAGTAACAGGGCAGCTTTGCTCCTCTTTCCAAGCTCTAGGCTTTGAGTAGTTTCGCGTCAATCTTGAGCTCGAACAGGCCATCATCACAGCTACGAAATTTCTCTCGTTGGGAGCTCGTTCTCGCCATTGTCGACGTAGCCCATTATCAGGGACGTCCATGAGACAACGCTGTGGAGCTTCATCCCTCGAAAACACCGCGAGCATCGGCCATTCTCCCACACTTGCCATACATGCTCACTGTTCTCCACGTAAACGCTTCTCCCATGTCCATGGACAAGAGCATCGCCATGGATCTTTCTCCCGGTCTGGAGATCTATCGTGCCGAGCCAAGGATCCTCTCTCTCGACAATCGCCTCTTCTTGCAGAGGAAAATGAAGAAACTCCCAGCGATCGTCAAGCTCCTCGCTCGCATTTCCAAACCTTTTGACACATCCTAAGCTGCGTTGCGAGCCCCGGCAAAGCTTATTACTCCAATTTAATTAAAAGATTAAAATTAGCATAGCTTTAGGGCAAAGGGAATGGGGCTGCTCACGATCATCCGCAAGGTGAAGCGCAAGGAGAAGGAAATGCGCATTCTCATGGTGTAAGCTCTCTCTCTCTCTCTCGATCTTTCATGCGGTGCTATGTCCTTGCGCATTTGATTTCCGCCGCAGAGGGTTGGACAATGCGGGAAAGACGACGATCGTCAAGAGAATGAATGGGGAGGACATTAGCGACATCAGTCCCACGCTTGGGTTCAACATAAAAACGATGCGATACGGCAAGTAAGTGATTCGCGACCTCTTTCGTGATCGTAACTCATCGCTTTCTTCAGGTATAGGCTAAACATTTGGGATGTTGGTGGCCAAAAAACTCTGAGATCGTACTGGAGGAATTACTACGAGCAAACGGATGGTCTGGTGTGGGTGGTCGACAGTGCTGATTTGCGTCGCCTCGACGACTGCAAGAAGGAGCTACACAACCTTCTCAAAGAGGAGGTACGTCAAGCGCGAGAAAATGAAAAAACCCTTGCTGGAAATCATTATCTTTTTTCGTTTCTTGTTTCAGCGTCTTGCCGGAGCATCACTGCTGATACTGGCCAACAAGCAGGACATAGACGGCGCTCTGGATCTCGATGAAATCTCAAAGGTCTGCCTTTTCATCTTCCTGCTTTGTATTTTTCAGTTCTTAGGTGGGAAGAAACGAATGCAGGTCCTGCGGCTTGATTTAATGGACAAAAGCAGGCATTCTCGCACTGTTGGATGCAGTGCTGTTACTGGGGACGGATTACTGGAAGCGTTCGACTGGTTAGTCTCAGATATAGGATCCCGTATTTATCTTCTGGACTAGCTGGCCATTCCTCTGGATGCTTGCACGAAGAAGATCGTTTGAAGTGAAGAGGCTTAAGAATCTATCGACTTCTGCGGCCTTTGTTTCTAATGAAGCGGTATTCAAGCAGAGGAAATGTGATACTTTTGGAGCTAGAGGGGATGATCGACAGGTGGTTGCTGCACTGAAGGCTTGCAGCGGCTCAAGAGATTTAGAGAAAGGGAAGGAAATTCACAGGAGACTGGGAAGCAACTTTGGTGTCTTCATCTCGACTGCCTTGGTGGACATGTACTCAAAGTGCGGGTGCATGGCTGAAGCTCGCCAAGTTTTTGACAGCATACATCGTCGAGATGTTGTTTCTTGGAACGCGATCATCACTGGCTATGCTCATGGTGGAGCTGCTGGGTCCGCTCTGGAACTATACCTGCTGATGCAGCAAGATGGTTTCGTCCCGAATGGTAGAACTTTCGTTGCTACTCTCAGCGCGTGTGCCAGTTTGGCAGCCAAGGAAGATCGAAAACAAGTAGTGGCAAGAGGATTTTCTATTCACTCTCAGGTTGCCAAGACAGGATACGAAGAAGACGTTTTCGTTGCGAGCACTCTGGTGGACATGCACACAAAGTTTGGTCTGATGGATGTTGCGCGTCGGGTATTTGACAGCATCCAGAGTCCCACAGTGGTGCTGTGGACTGCCATGATCATGGGATATGCACAAAACGGGGAGAGTGACATTGCTTTGGAGCTGTTTGCCGCAATGCAGGAGCAAGGCTACAGATTAGACTCGCGGACTTTCGTTGCTGCGTTGATAGCGTGCACTGGTCTGGCATCGAGAGAAGATGGCAAACAAGTGGACGGGAAGCTTGTAAAGGCCGAGGCTCTCAGGAAAGGCAGGAGCATACACTCGCTTCTCCAAATGAGTGACAACAGCCAGAAGCTCAATGCCTTCGTAAGAAACAGTCTCGTGGACATGCTTGCAAAGTGTGGGAGCATGCTCGAGGCTCGAGCAGTGTTTGAGCAGACAAGTCACCACGACGTGGTGCTGTGGAACTCTATCATACATGGCTACGCACAGAGCGGTGACGGCGAGCAAGCTCTAGAGATGTTTTCGAGAATGCTCGACCGGGGTGTCGATCCAGATGCTCGGACCTTCGTCGCCGCGATAGGTGCTTGCTCAAGCTTGGCTTCAGCGGAAGAAGCAGAGAAAGTAAATGGGAAGCTAGTCAAGGTGGTGTCGCTTGGAAAGGGCCGAGCTATCCATCTACAGCTTAAAAATCTGGGACGTAAGGTAGCGACTGATATATACGTGGAAAATTCGCTCGTGGACATGTACGCCAAGTGTGGAAGCTTAGCTGAGGCTCGAGAGGTGTTCGAGGAGATGCAGCAACGAAACGTAGTTTCTTGGACGACCATGATTCTTGGATGCGTACAGAATGGCGAGAGTGATGCGGCTCTGGAGCTCTTCACGGCTATGCAAGAGGAAGGCTTGACACCGCAGGCTCGAACTTACGTTGCAGCACTCAACGCTTGCTCTAGCCTCGCAGCCCAAGAAGGAAGAGAGCTCGGTGGGGATGCTCGAGTTCTCAAGCTCAAGTCACTCGAGAGAGGCCGACTGATACACTTGGAGCTCAGGAACAAGGGACACGAGCCAGATGTTTTCGTGGCGAATTCTCTGGTGGACATGTATGCCAACTGCGGGAGCATTGCGGAGGCTCGGTCGGTCTTTGACAGGAGTGTGATGCTGGGAAGTTCTTCGCTAGCGATGTGGACATCGATGATCCTGGGCTATGCCGAGCTTGGGGAGAACAGCACTGCTTTGGAGCTGTTCGAGAGTATGATTCAGCAGCAGTTGCATCCGGAGTCTCGGACTTTCGTGGCTGTTATCAAGGCGTGTGGAAATCTCGCAGACTTCGAGAGAGGAAGACGAGTTCACGAACAGATTCGAAGCAGAAGAGGTTATATGGATCAGCAAAGTGAGCTTGTCGTTGCAAACTCTCTCATCACTTTGTACGGCAAATGTGGGTGCATGGAAGAAGCTCGAGCCGTCTTCGACGCCATTCCCGTCAAGAGGAGAGATTTAGTGGCTTGGAGCGCGATCATCTCCGGCTATAGCCAACAGGGTGACGCTTGCCAGGTCTTCGACCTCTTCGAGCGCATGCAGCACGAGAAGATACGCCCCGATGGTGTGACTTTTCTCTCGGTGCTCAGCGCTTGCAACCACACTGGACTCGTCGACCAAGCCAGGAAATACTTTCACGCACTGCTCGAGGACTACAGAGAATATGCAACGATCCAGCACTACTCGTGCATGGTCGATCTCCTGGGTCGCGCAAACCATCTTGAGGAGGCACTGGCTGTAGTGAAAAGCATGCCTATGGAGCCGGACTCCACGATCTGGACGAGCATCCTGGCATCAAGTCGAAAGTGGGAAAACGTAGAAGCTGGAAGAGCAGCCTTCGAGAGGATCCAGGAAAAAGATGGCGCGGCCTTTGTGCTACTGGCAAACAGCTACGCCGGACGAAGCTCAAACTCTCCTTCGCGATGATCTCTCGTTCGACCATCGTCCTCGGCCTTACTCCTCATTGCATCGATCTCCAGCTTCTTCTCCCACATTCCCGCGGCTCCATAGATACTGGCCATCATCACGTAGCACGAGATCGCAACAGGCTCTCGACTTCTCAGCAAAGTATCGAAAGCCAGCCGCCCGACTTCTACGTTCTTCCACTTGTGGCAAGCACCAAGGAGAGTGACCCAAGCGACCGAGCTCCAGGGCACCATGTTCGCCATCTGCACGGCTTCTTCCAGCCGGTTTGCTCGTCCCAGCACGTCCACCATGCAACGGCAGTGCTGAGCGTCGGGAGAGACTCCATAGCTGGAGAGCATCGAGTGGAAGTGCTCGAGTCCCTTGTCGACGAGACCGGCGTGGCTGCTAGCCGCGAGAAGAGCCGAGAAAGTTACTCCATTCGGCCTCAAAGCTACTCGATCGAGAGCCTCGAAAAGAGCAAAGACGCGGGTGGTGTCTCCCTGGCGACTATATCCGACCAGCAAAGAGTTCCAAGTCACGATGGAGCAGTCACTGGAGCTCGTGGAATCGAAAACTCGTTGGGCATTGACCATGCTCCCGCATTTGCCGTAGAAATCCACCAAGCAGTTCGTCCGGAGCTCAGGATCCAAGCAGCAGTACCGAGAAATCTCCGCGTGGAGTATCTTCCCGGTTTGCAACGCTCCGAGCTTGGCAGCGGCCTTTAGCAAGACGGCGAAAGTTTGAGCGCTGGGAGCACAGCCTTGGAACTTCATGCCGACAAACAAATCGAGAGCTTGCTGCGGATGCCCGTGGAGAGCAAATGCAGCCATCATGGAGTTCCAGCTTACCACATCCCGATTCGGCATTCCCTCAAACACTCTGCGAGCGTCCTCCAGACTTCCAGACCTGGAGTACACATCCACGAGGCTGTTCGCAAGGAAAACATCCGAATCGAGGCCAAGCTTTGCAGCGCGAGAGTGGAGAGCCATGCATGTCTCAAGAACGCGATCTTTGCTGCACCTTTCTTCGAGGGTGGCAGCGCAGGCTTGAAGAGCAGCGACGAAAGTTTGAGCGTTTGGAGCTGCCCGGGCCCTGGAATGCATCTCCTGGAACCTCTCCAGCGCGGTGGTGCCATGCCCGTTCCGGGCATATCCCGCGATGAGCGAGGTCCACGATACAACGTTGCGCTGCGGGATGGAATCGAAGACCCACTGCGAGTCGTGCATGGTGCCACACTTTGCGTAAACATCCACCAGGCTGCTGGCCACGTAAACGTTCCAGTCGAGATTTTGGAGCGAGGCCTGCGAGTGTAGTGCCATAGCCTGTTCCAGGGACGTGATCTTGACGAGCTGACCATCAACCTGGGTCCAGTTCTCTCGGAGAGCTTGATGGCTGCAAGCCTTGATCAGCGAAATTAAAACTAGCGGTTTGCATCCTGGAAGATGGTCACCATTCATGCTACGCGAGGTTGAGAGCTTGACAAGCATACGGCGCGCCGACAAGACGGAGTTGTCGCTACAATGCGATGATGAAGAATTTTGGTGAGTGTTTCGTTTTGGATCGTCGTTGTGTATGTGGTCATGGATTGATCCGAGGCAAAGACCTTCCTGGATCTTCCGCATTTTCTCTCGTGGAATCAAGCTCTCATACGTGACGGATGACTACGGGCAGCGGTTGAGAGGATGCCGGGATCTTGACGAGGGGAAGAGGTTGCACTCCGAGATAATCAAGCGTGGCTATGGCGGAGACACCTTCCTTGGGAATCTTCTCGTTAGGATGTATGGCAGCTTTGAGAGGCTAGAGGAGGCGACGTGGGTGTTTACGAGTCTTCAGGAGCGCAATGTCTTCTCGTGGAACATCCTGCTCCATGCTTTTGCCCAGTCTGGGCATATGGAAGGATCGAAAGATGCTTTTGAAAAGATGCCCCTGCGCAGCATTGTGTCGTGGAACGACATGCTATGGGCGCTCGGCGAGGACTGCGCAGCGATGCAGGCGAAGAATGTTTTCGACGAGATGCCTGAGAGGAACGTGATATCGTGGGCGAGCCTCGCTGCAGCATTTGCCCGTGCCGAGAAAGCCGACGAGGCGGCGCTCGTTTGCGGGCAAATGCCGGGATGGAATGCCGTCGCGTGCACTACGCTGGTGGCGGCGCTGGCGCGGGCCGGGAAGCTGGACGAGTCGCGGGCCATGTTTGAGGCCATGCCCGAGCGCAGCAGCGTCAGCTGGAACGTTTTCATCTCGGCCTGTGCGCTCTCCGGCCACCTCGAGCGCTGCACTGCCGTGTTCGAGCGAATGCCGGCCTGGGACGTGGTCTCGTGGAACTCGCTCATGCAAGCTTACGTCGAGAATCACTGCACGGAGCAAGCCAAGGCCGTGTTTGATGCAATGCCGCTCCACAACCTTGTCACCTGCAATGCGCTCATCGCGGCCTACGGCAGCCATGGGATGCCGGATGACGCCAAGCTCGTGTTTGACGGGATGCGCGAGAGGGATGCATTGTCATGGGTGCTCGTCGCCAGAGCTACTGCCGCGGCTGGGAGCTTGGTCGTGTTGGAGCGGCTCCTGGACAAGATCCCGTGCCATAGCCTGGTGGCTCGCAACGTCGCCCTCCATGCAGCTGCTAGGGGCGGAGATCTTCCAGGGGCCGCGAGCATGTTTGCAAGCCAGGAGCTGTGCTATCACCGGGACTTGTTCTCCTGGACGACGATGGTGATGGCGCTAGCGGAGCAGCAAAACAGTCCCAAGAATCTAGACCTGGCCAGGGAAGTTTTCACCAGGATGGCCTGCTGGGATGTCACAGCTTGGAACGCCATGCTCGCCGGCTACAGCCGTGCCGGAGACGCTCCGGGGACGAAGCTGCTCTTCGACGAGATGCCCGAGCGGGATCTGGTGTCGTGGACGAGCCTGTTGGCGGTGTGCAGCGACGACGCCCTGAACGCGGCCATGCACAGAGTGCCTGCTCGAGACGTGGTGCTGTGGAACATCGTGGCGGGGGCGTATGCCCAGCTCGGGCACATCGAGCAGGCGAAGGCCACCTTCGATGCCATGGACGAGCGGGACACCGTGTCGTGGAACACCATCGTTTCGGCGTATGCCCAAGCCGGGCGTAGCCGGGCATCACTCGCCACCTTCTGCGCCATGGATCTGGAAGGCGTGAAGCTCGACGATGTCAGCTACGTGAGCCTGGTCGAGGCAGTGAGCGGGAGCAGCGAGAGCAGCCTCAGCGCGATGCGTGGAGTGCACGAGATCATAGCCGGGGTGGACGATGGCCGGCTCCTGGCCCAGGTGACGAAGGTGGCGAACGCGGTGCTCAACATGTACGCCAAGCGTGGGATGCTCCAGGCCGCGAGGGAGGTGTTCGACGCCATGCAAGCGCAGGCCCGGGACGTAGTGACTTGGAGCACGCTCATCGCTGCCTATGGCTCGGCCTGTTTCACTCCAGCGGCGCTGGAGCAGACTTTGCATCTCTTTGGCACGATGCAGCTGCAAGGGATCCAGGCGGACGCCATCACTTTCGTGTCTCTCCTGGCCGCTTGCAGCCAAGCTGGGCATCTCGTCCATGCCATGGCGCTCTTCGCTGCAGTGGCAGCGAGGGATTTTGCCGGAGTTGCTGCGAGCCTGGAGCACTATGTGTGCTTGATCGATGCACTGGCTCGGGCGGGGGAGCTTTCACAGGCACACGAGCTGCTCGAGTGCATGCCTTTTGAGCCGAATGCTCTGGCGTGGCAGACGCTGCTGGGGTGTGCCAAGGATCAGCTCGATCTGTGTCGAGGCCAAGAGGCTTTCCGCCACCTTGTTCTTCTGTTTCCACCGGGAGCTCCGTCGCTGGCCTCGGCCTACACTCTCTTGTTGCAAATCTCTTTTTCTTGCAGAGAGGTCGACACAGGATAGCCGCGCAAGCTCAAGCACGGTGATTCACTCCTTTCCTAAAGTCCAAAGAATTCATTTCATGGACAAGAGATCTTAAATCTTTGATTTCAGACAAAGTTTTCTACTTCTTACATGATTTCTAGCAGTAGTAGTCTGGGAGCACCCCTTTCTCGATCATCCTCTCACTCACCTTGTCCATAATCCTCGATCAATTCCAGTCCACGCACTTCTCCAGCAGCCCGTCTCATCCATCTTTTGCACCACCTTTCTTTTGATTTGTCTTGTGAAGAAGTTTTGGTAAAGTCATTGTGGTTGCCGTCCTAGCTCAGCCGGTAGAGCGCGTGGCTTTTAACCACGTGGTCGTGGGTTCGATTCCCACGGACGGCGAGACATTTGTTTCTTGATTGCGACTGTACTTAATGTTTTTTTTGCTTTTTGTAGATTTGTTGTAACCAAATCCATGCTATCATTGCCAAATGTCGCGGGGTCAAGGGACAGGACCGGCAACTTGCGGGCGTGTTGACGCCCTGTGCAGTCTCCACGTGGATGGGGGGATCTATAGAACTGTCCAGGAATCGCGGTAGCGTTTCCACGTGGAGGCATTCCAAGCAAAAAAGGTCCCTTTTGTCCGGTCAAACAGGCAGTAAGAAAATCTCGGAGTAGCAACAAGGAGAAAACGGCAAGAACATCCATCCTTGACCAGTCCAGCCTTTGATCCTTGTTTTGGAGTTGGAGACCAGGACTCCAAAGTTTTGGATCCACGTTATAAGAGTTTGGAACCTTGCTTAGATCACGGGCTTGGAAGCTCGCTTGGATCACGACGGTCACAACAGGCTCGACGTCGTTCTCCACCAACAATCCCAAGAAAACTGATGGGGACAATCTTGCGTCGTCGGCCTCTAGATCTCGCGAGTGATGCCAAAGAGCTCGTCCCCTTCCCGTAGATTTGTCTGCAAAGTCACGCCAAATCGCCCCCGGTCGAGTTTGCTCCATCCATTTGCAAACTTTGGAGCTATCGGTAGCGTGCTTTGACTGGACTTGAGTTACTAGATTGCTTGAGCTTAATCCAAACGCTGGATCGATTGGTGCTACTTAGCGTGTTGATTGACCTGGTCGCAACGAGAATGAGTTGATCGGAACCATTCTTTCTCAAAGAAAAACACGACAACAACTCACTTGCAAAGTATAAGCGTTGAACGCTTCCGCCGAGAAGAACAGTGAAAAAACTCCCAGGAACAGTGCCGAAATCCCCCGAACTTACAGCCACGAACAGCCTAAGTGAGACAAGAGCAGATCAAATGCCTCGCTAAATTCCCTTCCAAGCAATAAACCACCAAATGGATCGAAAAGAAATACCTGTGACCTGTACAGCATTGCGCTCCAAATGGTGTGAAGAATCTCCTTCGTAACAAGAAGACATACGTCGATGACATCTCTGTGAGAGCAGCACAAGCAACCTGCATTAAAAAAGAGCACGAAGGCGAAAGCAAAGAAAAATCGAAACAGTATAGAATGGCTACGAAGAGTTTCTATTTGCAATCTACTATACCTGTGGTGAGAGTTCGGACGGCCAGGATCGGAGAAGACTGGGATATATATATATATCATAGGAATGGGGGCAGATCCTGCACAAAGCAAACAGAGCTTGAGTTCTTACTTGTAGAGGAGAGAAGAAAAAGAGGATGCAAACTTAGCAGCTAAGAATCCAGCTAGAATTCTCCAGCAACTTACGCAGTTTCCAGTCTGAGATGTCGGAACAAAGCGTGCTATCTTTCGCTGGAGATGGAGAAGATCAAGACGCGAGCTTCCCCTTCTATAGACTCGAGACCGGGAGGCGAAAGTACCAGCAGCGGAGGCTCAAGCCACAAGCGGAGTCACTGGAAAGAGAGGCAGTGCTGAGCAGCAGCGAGAAGCTTGGTAGCAGCAGCAGGCCGAGCGGGAGAAGGAAGAAGAAGTTCGTGGGAGTGAGGCAAAGATCGTCAGGGCGCTGGGTGGCGGAGATCAAAGACACGACGCAGAAGATCCGGCTATGGCTGGGGACTTTCGACACGGCGGAGGACGCCGCCAGAGCTTACGACGAGGCGGCTTGCATGCTCCGGGGCGTCAACACGCGCACGAACTTCTTACCGGCGGCATCGCCCTCGAGCGGCTCAGTTCTTCCGTCCAAGGCCGCGCGGACGCTCCACCAGCGCCTGAAATCGGCCAGAGGGAAGAGCTCATCAAATCCATGCACTGTAGCTCCAAAGAAAGGGGAAGATGAAGCTCAAACCATGATTTACAGCTTTAACCAGCTCCAGTACTTTGGCGACGAGGAAGAGCTCGGCAACGTCCAGGCACAGCCACTCCATGTCCAATCCTTCACCACCTTGCTCGCCAACGATGGCTTCCCAAAGTTCTTCCACCACCAAGAGCAGCAGCGCGATCTCTTCACTGCCAAAACCACGCCAGGGATGAGCGATCACCAGGGAAGTATGGCTACCACCTTTGATGGCTTTGGAGTAGCGGCTATGGAAGTTCTTCCAGGAGCTCCTCCTCCAGGAGCCCAGGAGCTCGATCGCCGGAACTCTCCAGCCAGCTCGGATGATCTTAGCGACACTCTCTCGGGGCTGGAAGAGCTGGTCGTCCAGAGTGGCGGAGAGGGCGACTCCATCTACACGTCGCTCTTTGATCTCTCGGTGGACATGTCCATGCCTGGCAGCGATCAGTTCGAAGAGCTCTCGGCGATCACGGGCTTACCAGAGGCTCCCAGCGATCTCCAGCTCCCCCCTAGCGAGAGCGAGGAGAACATGATCCTGCGCGAGCAAATCCGGAGGCTGAATTTCGAGAGGATCTCGTCCGCGTCGCTCTACGCCATGAATGGGATCCAGGAGCTCTGCCTGATGAGATCCAGTGAGACTACGAGCAAGAATTCGATTCCCATCACCAGCTCACCTTCTCTGTTTGGACGATCGCCGCCGTGCTGTTCTTCCAATTCTTCTTCCTTCCTGGTGGCATCGCCAGCGGCATTGTCGTCGTGCAAGATCATGCAAAGGTCGCCTGGATGGGGCGGAGCCTCGCCTGGCGCTAGCGGTGATTGCAATGCGGATGGGAGCTGGGGAGCTCACCTCTGCCGCGTCGCCTAGGGCGAGGAGGATTGATCGATCGATCGAGAAAGCTTTGCCCTAGAGGATGGAATGAGAGATTTATGCACGAATTTGCTCTCGGATTGGAGAGAGCAACGAGTGCAAGTGAAGGATCAGGCAGCGAACACGCGGCATTCTCCCTGCTCGGTGGCTGATCCTCCATTCATTCAAAGCTTCCCAATAAAACCCCCAAAAGGGATTTGTTCTTGTTAGGGTTTTAGAGCATAGCGTCGATAGCGCGATGGAGCGATCGCGCCATGGAGTGCATTCTAGTGTCGCGCTCGCCCTCGCATTTCATCTACTGGATGGAGCGCCAACGAGATCGGGACGAGGTCTGCGTGAAATCTCGGTATTGTTCCTGAAAGCGATTTCTTGGATTGATTTGCTTTGCGCGTAGAATTTCTACCGATTTCTTGTTTTGTGCGTAGAATTTCTGCGTGTTCTTTGGACTGCGAGGATTACGTAAAATTTCGCTGTTTCTTTGCAGGAGGGATCGATCATGGACGCTATCGCCCATGATTGTATCCATCCATCCAAGCCATGCCAAAGCTGGGAGCGCGTGGCAAGCAATGCAGGGATCAAAACCACAAGGAATACGACAAAGCTTTTGCCGAGACTCTCAAGGTACCTATAGTCTTTACAAGCAAGTAGCGATGGAAAATCTCTCACCCATCATGGCGTGTTTGTTGCGGTGCCTTTCAGAAGATTCTCGCGGCCAAGTTTGTGGCCTTGCAGAAGGTGTCGTTCATATCAGTGATCGAGCTCGGGATACTAGCAGCTCCAGGGCTGGGGTCTGGGAGGCCGAGCGCAAGCTTCTTTCCTCCGCGTTCCATACGGTTGCAAGCTGCCTGGTAGGATGGGAGCGATCTGGCTACTTGAGCACAGGCAGCTGCAACGAGGTGATCAAGGAGCTCCTGCGTGTCATGCACACGGGTTTGCAGATCATCCCGAGCTCCTCAGGAAGCAGGAAAGGATGGAAGGTCAGGACGCTGTTTATCGAGGAAGAATTCAAATTCGTGCTCCAGCAGCTCCGGGATCTCACACACCTGGTGAGTGTTTTGCTGCTGGGAGACGAAGATCTTCCTCACGTCAGTAAATACCAGGTCAGAGTGATGGCTATGGTTTCGGTTGCTGATATCGATGGTCTACGCAGTGAGCTAGAGAATGCTGCAGCTCTGGACAAGGACGTCGTTCTAGAAAAGCTGAGCAAACGGCGAAGGGGGTACGAGGAGCTGAAAAGGATCATGCTTTGGGAAGGTGACCGAGGAAAGCTCGAGATCAACCACAGGCAACTGGTGTTGGGAAAACTCATCGGCTCTGGCACTTTCGGACTGGTTTACGAAGCGGGTTGGCTCCATCAAATTGTTGCGGTGAAAATATTCAGGCCGGGAGATTACAGCTTCGAGAAGGAGTTTACTGCCTTGGTAACGTTGCAACAGCATCCCAACGTTGTCAGCATCATCGGCTTCACGCGTGATGTTGAAGGCAAGCAGTGCTCAATCATCATGGAAAGGATGAGTATGGATCTGGAGAAATTTATAGGCGAGAATAAGGGGGCTGCAGGAGTTCCTCTCGTCACGGCAGTGTCGATTATGTTGCAGATAGCGGAAGGGATGGCTTTCTTACACTCGAAGAATGTCATACACAGGGATCTCAAGCCGCGTAACATCCTTGTCAAGTACTTGGAAGTTGGGATCCTCACAAAGATCTCGGACTTTGGCACGGCCAAAACGAACTTCTCTACGTCTCAAGCTGCGAGTGCCACGGTTGGAGTTGGCACAAAGATTTACCGAGCACCAGAAGTCTTCCGCTCTGAGAACACGGACGGGAAGGCAAAGTACTCGAAGAAGGCGGATGTTTACAGCTTTGCAATCATCTGCTGTTACCTGGTGACCGGAAGGCTGCCGTTCGAAGACATCATCGAAAGGATTGACTTTGCGATACTGGTCTGTGCTGAAAATAAGCGTCCGCAGCTACCTGTGGACTGCCCGGAGGAGCTAACAACACTTATCCGGAGCTGCTGGAACCGTAATGCCGAGGAGCGGCCAACTTTTGGAGAGATCTGTGACCGTTTGAAGCGTCTACGATCGCTTGTGCTAAGCGGAAGAAGCTTCTGGTACGAAGCCTTTGACAGCCAACTTGGAACGACCTCTCGAGTCAGGACGTTCTCACAGCCGGAAATCGCAGAGGCCTTGACGAGAAACGAGAGCAAATGGAGCGAGGGATCAGCTTACCGGGGAATACTGGTCACTGGAGAGGAGGTGGCTGTGGAAGTCTTGCCATCGGGCATTGTGGAGGCCGAGCTCAACTTCTTTTGTCGAGTCAGCCATCCAAACATCTTGAAGCTCATCGGCTATTGCAACGAGGGAGGACGATTCTCGACCGTGAGCGAGTACATCACGCAGGGAAGCCTCATTGAGCACCTCCATTTTGGTAAGAGTTTTCAACTTCTCTAGGAGTCACGCGATTTGTGTCCAGGGCACAGATACAACAGTGTTTCACTAGACTGGACGCGAAGAATTGATACTGCTATAGGAGCTGCAAGAGGACTTTATCACTTGCATGAACTCGAGATAGTTCATGGCAACGTCCACCCAATCACCGTGTTCTTGAGTGGAGACAACTCAGAGGGAAAGATCAAGTATCCATTGTCGTTAGAAGCGCCGCAGTACGAGGTACGTGGCTTTTAAATCAAAGCTGTAAGCTTCTCATCGTTTTGGACAGGACTACGCTGATCCAGCCGGAGTTCTATCCACGGAGAGCGATGTGTACAGCTTTGGGGTGGTAATGCTGAGGCTAGTGACAATCCAGGCCGCGAAGCAGCTCCTCAAGAACAGCTTCACGAAGCGCGGCGTCCAACACTTCATAGAAACGCATGTGGATCCGGAGCTGCTGGTTCCAGAGCACAGGGCGAAACTCAACTGGTACCTTGAGCTGGGGATGAGGTGCTTGGCACCGGAAGTCTCCCACCGTCCTTCAATGCGTGATATCGTCCTCCTCCTGCTAGACATTCGAAAGTGGGGGTAAGCCATGCAAACGATCTTGCTTTTTCATGTTTGCTTCTTTTCGAACAGTAATCGAGCAAATTGAATTGATCGAAAGAGAAGTACCAATATTTCGCAGGAGCTCCAAAACTGTGACAAATTGTATAAAGAGTAAGCTGCTCACACTTCAAACCTACGAAAGCACGTCCTTTACAAGTCTCTATGTTTTCCATCTTTCAGGATTTGCAGTGTGTACTTCTCCTGGAGACGGGCTCGTCTCGCGCGCTTTGCCTTGACCCACGCGGGCTCCTGAAAGATTAAAACAATGTGAGCGAGAGAGCTCCATGACCAGTGGAGTACGCACCTCAGGAACAAAGCACTTGAAACCAAATTTTGCGAGTAGCAAGAGGTGTTCCATCACGAGTATAGCGGCCATCCCCGGTTCTACGTTCCATTGGCCAGCTTCGTCATATAGGCACACCAGCAGTGCACAGTTTGTACAGATAGCCACCACACCCATGTACTGCAACAACAAATATGATATCATTTAGCAGTGAGATGTGATTTCTCCGGTCACACAAACCTGAAAGATTTGGAGCCACGCTCCAATGGATGCCGCCTCTCGTGGTCTGGGCCTTCGAAACATCAGCAAGAGTTTGATTGCGTCCGAGCGTATCTCCACCAAATTGTTCTGATAGCAAAGAGGTTTGCTTAACTATGATGAAAAGAGTGTGTTTTGAGTGAAATGACTTACGATGAGAGCAAAAACGAAGACCAAGGGAAACGAGCAAGCAAACATGGTAACCATGCCGAACTGTAAGGCGAGTTCTAGGAAATCTGGAAAGAATTAAGGTCGTGAGTATATAGCCAAGGCAGTAAGATTTCAATAGTACCGTCAAATAGTCCATCTTCCAGATCGTCTCCAACACTGGAACTATATTCTGGTTTCAAATATTCCTCTTCGACTGGCGAGCGTATTTTCTTGTCATCCGATTTTTTATGTTCCTCGTCATGCCTGCTTGAATGTTTAAACGCAATGCTAAGATACAAACAAACTTACTTCGTAGCTTTATGTTTCGCATACAAATACGAGAACCATGGTACCACATTTTCAGAAATGTTGCTCATTATCTGTACACAAAAAATGTTGTTTTCACGACGTTTTTTGTTAAATCATGAAGCCATACCTGGGCGATTATCAGTCGTTGAACAAGGAAGTGCCGTAGCACAATGAAGTCTCGATGAAACAATGCATGGTAAAACAAGCCGATGTAAGACTGCATGAAATAAATCCCAAACACCTGTACACGAGAAGAGCTTTTAAGAAGAAAAACTTAACAATGGCACCCTACCTTGTAGATGAGTCCATCTGATTCAGCCTCTTTGCTACCATAGTGCTCGGTCTTGGTAAGCTTCACTGCAATCTTCCCTCCAAGATTGGTAAACACTTGAATTCCTAAGAGATATATCACCGTTAAAAAATACCTGCAAGATGGAAGTCAAGAAAACTTAAGAGACAGTGAGACCAGCAAAATCACCTTAGTACTTCATATGATGCCATCTTGTTCATGTGTGCGTATGCAAGCTCGAAAGGAAGTTGAACGAATATGATTCCCACAATAACAATCCCATTATTTCTCGCACTTTTCAGCTGTTCCAGCCATTCCTTCTTCTGAAATGCCTGCTTCTGCAGCTTGTTGATATCCATCTCATGGATTCTTCCTGCCTGTATCCCGCCCTCGTTTGTCACCGCCGCAAAATCTATGTTCTCCGCCTCCTCAGGCCCTTCGCTGCGATCTAAAGAAACTCCCCACCTGCTCAGGAGTTATCAAGCCAAGACAAGTTTAATTCCCAAACAAACCTTGTAAGCAGTGCTGCGTTTTTTCTTTTCCAAAACTGCAAGAAGAGCACTGACCAAACCACAGTCATTACAGAAAGGGCTACAGGGAGAGCAGTTCCCCATGGTCTGCAGCAAAAATTAAGTGAAACACAGCAATGCGAAGGGAAACGAGATTACCTTGATTCCTTGTAATAAAAGAAAGCCGCCACTATAGACGGAATGACAAGCCACTGCGTATACATTCCAAGAAACGCAAAATATATAGCCACCTGAAATTCTAAACATCATAAGACACACTTGTTTTCAAAATTGCCAATCACCTTGGCACCGAAATACGCGTGGATGGCATCTACAGGTTGCGACGTAAGCCCTTTGAAATTCATTGCCCAACCTTTCAACAATTCATTACGCGTGGTTTCATCTGAGGAAAAGCAAATGAAAGAAAATAATAAAAAAGGCAACAACTGCATGCTAGAAACAGACCGTGAAGCACGAAGACATCCTTAACAACTTCAGAAGCCTTGAGCACTGCAAGCATGTTCTCTCCCGGTTTTAGCTCTAGCTCCGATGATTCACCCACCGTGAACTTCACAGGATGGTCTTTCTCATTAGCCTGGAGAGAAGTGCCAGTCAAACCGCAACAGAAAGCATTAAACGATGCCATACCACACTATACAACAGGTACTCCATGCAACTGTATTTTTCTGTCCAGGTAAACAACGAGTTGCTGATTGCTTGTCGCACAAATGCATCTCGCTTCTCCCAAACAAATGGTACTTCTAATCCTGTAGGAAGAATAAAAGTGAGAAAAGTTTTAGCCTTTGTTCGATCGGCAAACAAACCAAGGTAAGTCGATTTCTTGATGTTGAGCTTCTCCGCTGTGCGACCAACAACCTCGATAGGTGCCGCGATCTGAAAAGCCACAAGTAAACGAAAGCAAAAGCGTATAAGAAAACTTACCTTGATGAATCTGATCGAATCCAAGCCCTCTTCGATCTCAACGACGAGGCCACTATTCTTCAACGCCTTGATATAGCTCGCCACAGCATCGTTGTCAGACCCGGGGCTGTGCTTGCTGCTCGCGACCGCGATACAAATCTCGAAGCGCGGTGCTGCATCCGATGACTCCATAGTGCAAAAGTGATCCACTGAGAGCTCGCGCAAGAACAAATAAGCAGGACGTGGACGGTGGCGATTTCAGTGCCAAGTGGCAGCGTAAAGAGCCTCCACGCTGTGGCAGCGCAAACTTCTTAATATCCCCGGTGGCTGCGAACCCGCAAACTCTATCTTCTGCAACGAAAGTTTTCATCCAAAGATCGCGAAAAGGAAAAGTCAAATCCATACCTTGGGCCCAAGATGGATCCGAAATCGCAAAGAAACATAAAAGAGTTGAGCTTTGGACTTTCACACTGGTGGAAACGTCAGGCTTTCCTGCAACCATCTCTAAGCTCCCAGATTTTCTCCCTTGTCCGCAATCCCAGCTCACCCCTGATCATCCCACAAACAACCTCTTCCACCCTTGCAGGAAACTTGTCACCCCTGGTTCCATCTCTCCCACGATCATCGAGTCGAATCCCAACTTTCCAGACGTCCACAATGTCCTTGCAGTTCAACCTCTGCTCGAAGAAGCACGGCCAGCAGATCATTGGGACGCCCGCACAGATGCTCTCGAGCGTCGAGTTCCATCCACAGTGCGTCAAGAACGCTGAGACCGACGAATGTCGGAGAGCTTACAGCTGAGGAGCCCAGCGAACGACGAGGCCGTGCCTGTTGGCTCTCTCGCGACGCGCCTCCTTGGATCTCTCCAAGCCGTCGAAGAGACTTTCCAGTTCTGCCACCGAGATGCTCGAGATGCTCCCAAATGAAACGTAGAGGATCGAGCCTGTCTAGCCACTCCATGCAGACGTCCTCTTCTCCCCAGAGAGCTCCTGTGATTCCCATTTGATAGAGTCAGCCTCCAAAAACTCGGCAGGGAGTAGAGGACCTACTGGAACCAGCTGAGGAAATCCTTGCTCTCGAGCTGCTGCGATCTCGCTGCCTTCCAGAGCCTCGCACGAGTTGACGATGATCCAGGCAGCGTTTTTGAGCCCCTGGTTGCGAAGAATGGCGGTGTCATAGCCAGTGTCATCGAAAGAGCTCTTGATGAAGTCGGGCAAGTCGGTGGGATGCAAAGGAGGAAGCCGCGGAATCTAGACAACATCGTCACTCTTCACAGTGTCTGCCAAGAAAACGTTCGAGTGAGACGAAGAACTTCCAATGGATGAAAAGCTTGCGAAGAACTGGTGGAATGGAATTTTGCTTTGCTGTGGTTGTGAGCTTACCTCGATCGATGGGGATCCTTCCAGCAGCCAAGTGCAAAGGAATACCTTGCTCCGATAGAAACGTCGCGACTGGCAGTGGATAGAATGCGAATCTCCTAGCCACTTCCTCCACCCATCCGAGGATAGAATCCGACACAATGAAGCTCACCGGGCAAGACGACGATGGGCCAACGATCAGCTCCACGAACGGCTCCTCCATCCTCCTGGTAGCAGCGATGAATTTCGAGATGTCCTGCATGCTTCACTCCGGCAGCATCTCATCTGGAATCGTGGCGAGGTGGATGCCGATGCCGCGATCCTCTGGCGATAGCACAATGGCGCCGTGATTCTTCCTGGTGCTGACGAATGTGACGCGGAATCCCATCGTGGACGCCAGCGCCAGGGAGAGCTGGAGCAGTGGATTGATGTGGCCCTGGCCTGGATAGGGGAGGATCACGATTGCCCCATCAGTTAGGGCTCTTCACATTTTCTTTCTTTCTTTTTTCTTACTTGGCAGTGAAGAACCCTAGAAAAGAGAATGGCGATGGCGGTGGCGCCCAGCGCCTCCGACTCCGATCTCGCCTTCCAAATGCAGATGAACGAGGCGCTGGCGGCATCGATGGGCATTGACACGCTGGATGATCGCGGAAAAGGTGAGAAGACGGCCGGATTTTGGCAGATGGTGATACTGGTTTCTCGTTTCTAGCTGGATGGAGGAGCAAGCTCCTGGGCGTGGAGGGCGACGCGGCGCTGGCAATTCGCGTCCAGGAAATGGAGCTGGAGGCGCTCCAGAAGCAGGAGGAGGATCGCGGCAAAGCGGCCAAGCTGCTCAAAGCGCTCAACGAGAGCGCGGACCAGCTGCTCCACGACGAGGCAATGGCTCGCGAGATCGATGAGATGGACGAGGGGGAGTGGGAGGAGAATGGTGACTTGTACGAGCGGCCTTTCCAGTCGGGGATCACGGGGACGTTCTTCCGGGTTTTTTTCAAAGGCTACTCGGTTTCCGAGGGTGGTGTGATCGTCGGTGCCGCTCTTGGTGGATCGATCATGGATTCCAGTGGAAACGAGCTCCTCCAGCTCAAGAGATACGTCGCAACTCCCACCGGGAAGAACGTCGCGCAGTACTATGCTCTCGTTGACGTTCTCAAGTCGGCTCAGTCCATGGGAGCTCGCAAGATCATTGCTTACACGGACTCTCGCCCTCTCAATAACCAGGTGGGGGTTCTTCTTTTCTTTCGCCAACTTTCCTGATTCAGACGCTTCGTTTCTTTTTCTTTCCTAGATCAAGGGATATTGGAGCGTCTCTACAAAGGCTATGAAGGCCGAGTATGACAAGGCAATCGGGCTCATCGATAGTTTCGAGTCGTTTGATATCAACCTTGCCCTCCACGGAGAGAACTGGCCAGCAGACAATCTAGCAAAGTCGGTCTCGATCAGCCAGAGGCAAAACACGGCTTCCAGCAGCAGGTCCATGTTTCACTGCGTCATTTGCCTCGAGGACGTCCAGGATGCGGACATTTACACTCTCACCGAGTGCTCTCACAAGTTTTGCTCATCGTGCGTGAAGCAGCACGTCGAGGCTACAGTGACAACCGGGCGGACTTTCCCGGTGGCTTGCCCGCAAGTCGAGTGCACGAAGAAGTTCACCGAGGGCGAGTGCAAGAAGCTGCTGTCCGAGGTGGCTCTCAAAGTTTTCATGAAGAAGATAGAGGAGGAGCGCATCCCTGATGCGGAGAGAGTCTATTGCCCGTATCCAAACTGCTCGGACTTGATGGATAGAAGGACTTTCCTCGACCCCAAGCCCCGGAAGTTGTGTGGAGCTTGCCACAGATACTTCTGCCTCGACTGCCGAGTTCCCTGGCATACATTCTCGACTTGTGCTGGATACCAGCGGCTGCCTCTCGACTTAAAAGATGCCGCAGACGCAAAGCTCTACAGGCTCGCGGAGAACCAGAACTGGAGGCAGTGCAAGCAGTGTAGGCGGATGATTGAGCTCTTGGAAGGGTGCTACCACATGACTTGCAGGTATGATTTTTCTGCCTCGTTCTTTTTCTTGTGAATGATACTCGGTGTTCTGGTGCTATAGGTGTGGCTGCGAGTTTTGTTATACCTGTGGCATGGAGTACCGGAATAAGATACAAATGTGCACCTGCAACCTCTGGGACGACCGCTACATTATTAGAGAGGAAGAAGAGTTCTCGGACGATGGAAGCGGCAGTGACGTCGAAATGGATCTTCGCGACCCGTTCTACAAGACGCAGCTCTGTAGATACTTCGCCAACGGGCACTGTCGTCATGGAGTCAACTGCAGGTTTGCTCACGGTAATCACGAGCTGAGATAAAAACTTTATACTTTTTTTTGGTCCTGGAGAAGAATAGAGTTCTAGGAGTGAGTCAAGGCCAGGTTTTTAGATTTAGGAGGAACTCTCAAGGCCAGGTTTTTAGATATCGGAGCTTAGTGGAGAGGAAAGGCATTCTATGGCGCAGGAAAATCCCAAGAGCGTACTGAAGCACGTATTGCTGGCGAGATTCAAGCCCGAGATCTCGGAAGAAGAGGTTGCATCTCTGATTGCTGGTTACGAGGCGCTTCCACAGTCGATTGAAGCGATGAAAGGCTTTGAGTGGTATGTATCTTCCTTTCTTTTCCTTCTCATCCAACCTCTTTTTTGGGACAGGGGCACCGATGTGAGCGTGGAGAACCTCCACCAGGATTTCACTCATGTTTTCACCTCCACTTTCGAGTCTCCGGAGGGGCGAGATGCGTACCTTGTCCATCCCGCGCACACGGCCTACGCAAATAAACTCCTTCCGGCCCTGGACAAGGTGATCGTTTTGGATTTCCACCCAAAGGTTGTTTGTCATCGCAGCTGAACCAAAGCTGTTCAATCTAAAAGCTTTCCAAGTTTTTCCTAGCGCCCTGGGTGCTCGAGAACAAGACGTAAGGTGCCGAGTTCTCTGGATCCAACTTGAGACCTTTATCGGCAGCTCTCGCCGCCGCCTCGACATTCCCGTGAGCTTTGCAAGCGCTCAGGTACGCCATTCATCCAATGCCACTGGAGATCCCGTCCGTCAAAGCCTCTCCCTCGTAGAGCTGTCCCAGCCGTCCGAGCAGATCAACGGCACACGCGTAGTGATCTTTCTCGAGGCAAACTCCATGGTAGCCTTGCATGGAACCCAAGAAAAACATTGTTTTAGAGAGCTTGCCTGGTTGCAAGCCGAGAGAACGTTGGTATGCTCTTGAGGGTCATTCTCAAGAACAAGTCTAGAGTGTCCCATGGTGAGCATAGGCCGTATTCCACGACTCTGTATCCCATAATTGGAAGTCCTTGAAGATCTTTCTTGCGTTGCTGAGATGACCACACTGGTAGCAACGCATTTTGGATCCTGGTCCTGAGACACGATCTATAGTCACTTAGCATGCTTGCGTGAACGAGTTTTACAGTGCATCAAACACGACTATGCTCATAAGGTTAGGGAGGTAGCGGATATGCCTGGTGCAAGCGTCATAGTCCTTTCCTCTTGGAAAGAGAATGAAAGACGTTCTTAACAATATCATGGATGCCATGAGAAGGTTGGCAAAATCGGATTGAGAAAGATAACTATTCCTTGCCAATAAGTTCAGGTGAAAGATTATCACCAAAGTAGAGAGTCAAAAGGTTATATATTATTATGAATTCTTACCACCAAAAATCTATGATTAAATACATTTTATTTTTCAGGGAAAGTATAGAAGCATTTGCTTTGCATTGCAGGTAGCGCTTAATAGTAGTGTTATTTTTATTTACTAATCCAGTTGATTAAATGAAAGTTTATAATTATAAATATGTTTATAATGTATTTAAACACAAGATTAATTTTATTGAATATCAAGAATATAATAGGAAGTGTTTAGGAAAATTTATAAATTATAAATACAAGATTAATCTAAATGAATAACAACCGTTAGCTGGTAGAATATTCAAGCATATTCTAGGTATGTCCTACAGGTTTGCTTAAGCAAACCAAAAATCAAGTAAAAAATCAAGTAAAACATATAAGTGAACAATTGAATAAAGTTGAGATTTGTTTAATAAATTTTTTTAATGACTTCAGTTATGTAGAGAATAATGTGTAAGTAAAACAATAGAATTTTCTTTTCTAGTTATTTAATTTTAAATAAGAAATAATACGTGTAACTGGTGCTTATTTATAATAGTTCTAGATTTTAAAAGAATTAAAGAAAGCAAATGATATAGAAAAATCACATCCTAGAAAATACTTGGATATTTTAAGAATATTCATTACCCTTGCAAGGCCCCCAATGAACTTGCTGCAAATGAAGACGGTGGGCACAACCTGCAAATTGCCCATTATCCGGGCCAGGTTATGCTTTTTTCTGGTGGAAGAATTGCATCAAATCTAATCTGAAGCTAAGTCTTCTTAGAGTAATTTAATGGAAGTTTTTTATGCTTAATTTGTCAAGAAGTTTGAAGAGGTTGGCCTAGGGTTTGCTCCCTATTCATTTCATAAGAGTATTCATTGTCATATAATTATTCATAAAATGACAAAAACATATTGTACAATGTAGAATATATTTTATAGAGCTGATGGAACATAATTTTAGTAAACATTGAGGTAATAAGAGTATTATATTATTATTTATATAGATGGGGAAAGTCTCTAAGTATTAAAAGAAAAATATTAGATTATTAAAATTATCTATGCTAAGATGCACAAGGAAGAAATATTCTTTTGTTACTAAATCAAATACTAATACAATTTTCATATATAGTAAAATTGAAAAGACAGGCACTAATCCAAGCTAAACTAAATACTCATAAATAAACACAAATTTATTTATAAAATATACTTATTTATATTATTATTGAAGATAAAAAATATCAATTAAAACTAAAACCTGTAATTGCTACATTTTAGAACTCCATATGCAAACTTGAGCTTGATAATCATTTATAGCCACTTGTCCTGTATTTTCAACACATACCATTAATGTTAGCCAACAATATCCATTACATCTCACACCTGAATTCCATAATGCTCCATTTATAGATGTATAAATAACCAAGTTACCATTCATATGAAATGTAAGGTGACAAGACCATCCTCTTGGCTTAGATGATTTAGTTGACCATATAGCATAGTTTGGAGTATGAGTTATTCCTTCATAAAGTACAAGATTACAATCATCTTGCATAACAAGATAATATTGACCATTAGGTGATATAAGCATTCTGTTGGTTTTTAATGTTGATATTCCAGAAAGATATGGTCCAGTTTTCAAGCATGATCTAAAAAGCCAACAATCAGGTCCAGAATAACCATCATCATTTTGATACAAAGCCAAACTTGAGTATTTTGAAACATTAAACATGTACTCTTGGATTTGAAATTCCTCATTACTAATTGAATAGCTTATGGTATATCTTCCATGTGTTATTTCTACTGTACCATAATTACTAATGTCTTGAGCAGCCAATAATCTATATAATCTCTCAAAGTTATAACGCAAACTTAATCCTGGTTGCATTACACCCCAAGATGGAAATATACTACACATCATATTTGAATACCATGGACCATCCAGATGACCACATCTTATAGATACCTCTAATAGTCTATTATTAAATTTTAAAATGTTTGCTAAAACCATTTCTCTATAATATGGTTGATTACCAGGTATTCTTCTTATTTCTTTCAAAATAAGATCTAAAATAAACTTTTGAGGTAATATGGAATTTGGATTTTCTCGAAATAACTGCATACCAAAGCATGAACTTAGTAAAAGCAAAAAGTAACAGCTTAGAAGAGTAATATCTTTCCTCAGATCCATAAATCTTAAGTATTTAAGGTTATTAAATAAATAAAGTAATTTATACTTCCAATTTAAGTTATCTTTTATGAAGAAGACAAAATGATTATATATAGTTTTTATACATTTGTATTTTTGTTTAAAGTTTTGTAGTGTATACTAGGATATTCTAATGGAATTAACTTTTTCTGCCTTGAGTTTCTGAGGTTGTTTGTCATCGCTAAGTTAGGACCAAAGTATTTCAATCTAAAAGCTTTCCAGAGTTTTACTGGCTCCCTGGGTGCTCGAGAACAAGACATAAGGTGCCGAGTTCTCTGGATTCAGCTTGAGAACTCTATCAGCAGCTCTCGCTGCCGCCTCAACATTCCCGTGAGCTTTGCAAGCGCTCAGGTACGCCATCCATCCAATGCCACTGGAGATCCCGTCCGTCAAAGCCTCTGCCTCGTGGAGCTGTCCCAGCCGTCCGAGCAGATCGACGGCACACGCGTAGTGGTCTTTCTCGAGGCAAACTCCATGGTCGCCTTGCATGGAAGCCAAGAAAAACATCGCTCTGGAGAGCTTGCCTGCATGGCTGCAAGCAGAGAGAACGTTTGTGAAAGTTATTGCATTGGGTGGTATGCCCTCTAGGTTCATTCTCAAGAACAAGTCTAGAGTGTCGTGGATCTGCCCGTGGCGGGCATAGGCTGTGAGAATCCCATTCCACGACACTTTATCCCTTGATCTCATGTCCTCGAAGATCTTTCTCGCTTCTCTGAGATGACCACACTGTCCATACATGTGAACCAGCGCATTTTGGATCTTGGTGCTAAGATAATATTTATAGTCACTTAGCAAGCTTGCGTGAACGAGTTTTCCTTCGTCCACAGCGAGGACACTCCCACAAGCGTCGAGAGCACTGATGAAACAAGCCTCGTCCAGTGTAAATCCCTCCAGGTCCATGCAAACGAAAACTCGAAACCCTTCCTTGCCATGCCCGCTCTGGACATATGCGACCAGCAGAGCAGTCCACAAAACAACGTCTTTGCTTTCAGCACTGTCAAAAATCTCTCTTGCCCGATCAAACTCTCTCGATCTACTGTACATGTTTAGCAGCGAAGTTGCCACCATCAGGTTTGAATCGTATCCACTTTGAGCAGCAAAACTGTGAATCAGTCGACCAACCGTTAGATCTCCAGCGTCACCACAAGCTTCCAACACGCTCACAAAGTTAGCGTCGTCGGGCTTGACACCTTCGACGCTCATGAGCTGGAACAGCCGGATCGCCAAATTGGAATGCCCGTTCTGGGCATATGCAGCCATCATGGCATTCCATGTCACCTCGTTTTTGGTCCGCATCACATCAAACACAGCCTTGGCCTCTCCAATATTTCCACATTTTCCATACATGTCGACCAGCGCAGTTCCCACTCGAACGTCACAAAGAATGAAAGTGGAATCAATGCTCTTGTGAACACTCTTGCCTTGTTCTAAGGCATTGCAACTGGAGAATCCATCCAGAATGCTAATCAGCGTAATTTCATTCGGTCGAATCCCTTCCTGATCCATGAGCTTGAATATGCAAAAGGCTTCTTTGGAATTCCCAGCTTGAGAGTATGCAGAAATCATTGAGTTCCATGAAACAACATTCTTGAGTGTCGAGGGCATTTTGTCAAAGATATCTCTCGCCTCGCGGATATGCCCGTTCTGGGCATATGCGGCAAGCATGATAGTCCAGGAGAAAACGTTCCTCTTAGAGATTGAATCGAAGACGTTTTTAGCATCGCTGATGCTGTTGCACTTCCCGTACATGCGTATAAGAAGGTTGGCAAAGAATGAATCGGATTGAGAAAGATATCCTGCCTCCAGAAGGCTTTGGTGGAGTTTCCTGCCTGTTGTGATTGACTTGCACTGACTGAGCAAAGCTTCATATGATCTTTTCTCAGTTTTCTCATGACAAACATCCACAAGGCTATTCCTCGATAGCATCCAACGGTTACCCCTTTTGAATTAAGAGTTTTGATTTAATATTTTTAATCTAGTAGGAGCTGTGCATCCAGGGTGAAGCATATCTGCGGTTGCTACTCTTGAATAGAATACTTAGAAGCTAATGCTTCTGATGGATCTTACTGCAAATGTAATGTTATCCCTTGCAGTGAAAGTCAATACAAACCTTTTGACAATTTAGCTGTGGTGGCAAATTCTCAAACAGGCAATGGTCAATCCTTCCTCGTTAAGGTTTCTACGAGCTTGCATAAATTTTTGTGCAAAGATGATTATATATATATATATGCTTGCAGACGCTCTTGTGGCTGAAATACTCGGCTGGCATCCTTGGTTTGCTGTGGCAGTTCTCACAGTATGTAGGTTCCAAGCTGCAACATGCTTGAGCAGCGAATTTGTCTTTCAAAATTGGATAGAAAACCTCTTGAATACTGCATATGTGCCATGGATCTTCCATTAAAAGGATCCTGCCTTTCTCCATTTGCAATTCCCTTTGTAATATGAAACAACTTTTGATGATCTGCAGACATCATTAAAATAATTCTTCTACTCTTAACCACCTGATCATTCATCTGATGTGTCTCACATAAAAGACATGTGCACAATCTCCTCATATCATTTTGGCCAACCATATTTTGCAGCTGCACCATGATAACACTCTTAAGAAGTCTCACCTCTTTTGTTTGTGGCAACAGCAATACTAAATGCTCACTCTAACAAACATAAGAGAGATACTGTGGTTTGTAGAACTTGCAAGTTACTATTAAAGGTTTATTGAGGGATTTGCTAGGGGTTCAAAATGCATAGTAGATATAACTGACCAACTTGAAATTTCTTGTTAAATGTATTTGTTTTTGTTCTGCATTTGCTTTAATCCCAAGTTTAGTAGTTGGTAGAGTACTTATATTTTTTATGTTATGTTGAAATAGCATTAACCTTCGTTTAGCATTATTTTGTGTACTAATTTTAATATCAAGATGCTAAAAGCTTTAGAATTGTTCCAATGTTGCACCACTCTGGTGTTTTACACTCAAGAGTTTTGTTTTGTTTTGGCTTAAAGCTCTAAAACTTAAGTTTTACTTTGTTGCCCTGATAATATTATATTAAAGTGAATTGCAAACAAGCTAACATTTTGTTGAAAAGTTCCTCAAATAGATGATAATTTTAGCAAAGTATGACTCTGAGTTTAATTTTAAAAAAAACATTTAAGATTGGCTAAAGCTTTGAATTATAAAATACTTCTAGAGCAAGAAGAGATCAAAAGAAAAAGATGATGAAGTCTTAACAATAAGTGTTAATATGGAAAAATATTGAAATATTTATAAGTTTTTAAAATCAATGAATTTTCTAAAAGGTTGAAAATGTGCTAAGAGGAAGATCATATGTAAGTCAAAACCATTCAGATTAATAAGTGATTAACTTTATTGAGTTGGACGAGACAACATGCTTCAAATAACAATTAGACAGAACGAACAAAAGGAAATCATGAGGCATTGCTATGAAAGATAATATAGTGAACACTCCTTCTATAATTATATAGCTAAGAATGCAAAATTTCTAGCTAACATTATTTTAGAACATGAATTAATGGTAAAGATCATATCATATTTGTCAAGTATTTGGAAGAAGAATCCCTCAATTCAACTAGAAGGTCTTCATTCAATTTTGTTGACAATACCATTTGAAAAATGGGGGATAGATTCCAATTCTTATAGTGGTATCACATTAAAAAAGCCTTATCTCAAAGGTAATAGACTACTTTACTAAATGGGTTAAAACAATAACAATTAAAACCAACGTAAAAGGAAGTTATGATAAACTTTTTTGTCCAAAATGTATGTATAGCATTTGGTTGCTTGTTAGAGATTGTTATTGACCAAAGCTCATATTTATTCAATGAAGTAGTTAAAACACTAATGAGGAAGCTATTGATTAAATATCAATAGTCAATATCATACTATTCACAAGCTAATTGGTTGGTGAAAAGAATAAATAATGTATTGTGCAATATTCTAGAAAAATTGATTTTTGAAAAAAAGGAAATTGGGACAAAATAATTACTATATCATTATAAATTTATAAAACCACACACAAAGTAATAACAAAGTTCACTCCTTTTCAATTAATTTATAGGACATAAAATATAATTTCAATTGAGTTAGAAATCCCAAGTTTATGATTAGGGTTGAAGTATGAACTAAGAAGGACTTGCAATTAAGGCTCATTCAACTTAAAATGATGAATAAAAGTTAACATCACGCTTTTTAACATATGAAATGATTCATAGTAAAGAAAACACAGATTTGATAAAGAATCTGTAAAAGCTTTCCTAAGTTGGCAATTTGGTTTTGTTGAATAGTACACCAAATCCATAAAAATAACTTGCCACTGTGCTCACTCAGTTAGCTTCCAAAGATCACCACTATTATTTGGTATTAGAAAAATTATCAAGTTTATTTTGTATAGAATCATACTCTTCTTGAAATTTTTAGAGTTCCTTAGATTTTAAAACAAAAAGACACACCAAAACCAAGAATCCCTACAAAATGTGCAAGTCCACATCCTATATTGGTGATTAACTCTTTGATCAAGTATTATAAATTTCTACAACAACTCTACACTTTCTTATAAAATTGTAATCAAATTTTGACCAAGTCATGGTAATTACTGATGACATGTGAAATAATATCAAATGACATCTTACACTCTCTAAATAAGTATTAGAGTAACTTTGATCCATGCCTTCATATAAAACGCCACTATAACACCAAGTAAAACAAGAAAATTAATAAACTTTATAGAATGGTGGAAAAAGCTGTTGAAAGTTTAAAAATACCAAATTTTTCTTATATTATTGTGCTCTAAATTCCAATATTTTATATTTTAAAGAACTTACTAACTAGATCCCTCCCTAAAACCTTATAATTACTCATACTCCAAAGTTTAACAGTTTATATTTAAAACTTTCTATCTTGCACTAGAATGTGGATGGTGTAATGAGTTTGATTTTCTTATATTAAATTTTCAATTTCAATTTAATATGAACAAAGCATAAGAGGTTATACATTTCCTCAACCAAATAAAGTAATAACAATATATACTTTGGCTTGTTTTAATCTGTTCAGGAAAAGTGAAACTAGTGGAATACCGCCTGGCAGTGAAGAATCCTAGCAAAGAATGGCGATGGCGGTGGCGCCTAGCGCCTCCGACTCCTTGCCTTCCAAATGTCGATGGGCGATGCGCTCGTTGTAGTTGTCCTCCATTGCTTGCTTCTGTTTGTGTTTGGGCGGATGGTTTCTCGTTTCTTGCTCGGCCTAGCTGGATGGAGGAACAAGCTCCTGGGCGTGGAGGACGACGCGGCGCTGGCAATTCGCGTCCAGGAGATGGAGCTGGAGGCGCTCCAGAAGCAGGAGAAGGATCGCGAGATAGCGGCCAAGCTGCTCAAAGAGCTCAACGAGAGCGCGGACCAGCTGCTCCACAACGACGCCATGGCTTCCAGTCGGGGATCACGGGGACGTTCTTCCGGGTTTATTTCAAAGGCTACTCGGTGTCCGAGGGTGGTGTGATTGTTGGTGCCGCTCTTGGTGGATCGATCAGGGATTCCAGTGGAAACGAGCTCCTCCAGCTCAAGAGATACGTCGCAACTCCCACCGGGAAGAACGTCGCGCAGTACTATGCTCTCGTTGACGTTCTCAAGTCGGCTCAGTCCATGGGAGCTCGCAAGATCATTGCTTACACGGACTCTCGCCCTCTCCATAACCAGGTTGGTTGTTCTTCTCTTCTTTCGCCAACTTTCCTGATTCAAACGCTTCGTTTCTTTTTCTTTCCTAGATCAAGGGAGATTGGAGCGTCTCTACGAAGGCTATGAAGGCCGAGTATGACAAGGCAATTGGGCTCATCGATAGTTTCGAGTCGTTTGATATTAACCTTGCGCTCCACGGAGAGAACTGGCCAGCAGACAATCTAGCGAAGTCGGTCTCGATCAGCCAGAGGCAAAACACGGCTTCCAGCAGCAGGTTCATGTTTCACTGCGTCATTTGCCTCGAGGACGTCCAGGAGGCGGACATTTACACTCTCACCGAGTGCTCTCACAAGTTTTGCTCATCGTGCGTGAAGCAGCACGTCGAGGCTACAGTGACAACCGGGCGGACTTTCCCGGTAGCTTGCCCGCAAGGCGAGTGCACGAAGAAGTTCACCGAGGGCGAGTGCAAGAAGCTGCTGTCCGAGGCGGCTCTCAAAGTTTTCATGAAGAAGATAGAGGAGGAGCGCATCCCTGATGCGGAGAGAGTCTACTGCCCGTATCCAAACTGCTCGGACTTGATGGATAGAAGGACTTTCCTCGACCCCAACCCCCGGAAGTTGTGTGGAGCTTGCCACAGATACTTCTGCCTCGACTGCCGAGTTCCCTGGCATACATTCTCGACTTGTGCTGCATACCAGCGGCTGCCTCTCGACTTAAAAGATGCCGCGGACGCAAAGCTCTACAGGCTCGCGGAGAACCAGAACTGGAGGCAGTGCAAGAAGTGTAGGTGGATGATTGAGCTCTCGGAAGGGTGCTACCACATGACTTGCAGGTATGGTTTTTCTGCCTCGTTCTTTTTCTTGTGTACGATACTTGGTGTTCTGGTGCTATAGGTGTGGCTACGAGTTTTGTTATACTTGTGGCATGGAGTACCGGAATAAGATACAAATGTGCACCTGTAAGCTTTGGGACGAACACTACATTATTGGAGAGGAAGAAGATTTCTCGGACGATGGAAGCACCAGTGACGAAATTCATGACCCGTTCTACAAGACACGGCTCTGTAGATACTTTGCCAACGGGCACTGTCGTGATGGAGTCAACTGCAAGTTTGCTCACGGTTTTATTGATATGTTTTTTTCCAGGTTGGCATTAAACTAATTTAATGTTTAATTTCTAATATGAAGAACTTACTAGTAAGTTAACATTGAACATATCCACTTTGAGCAGCAAGACTATGCTCACAAAGTTAGCATTGTTGGGAAGATATGCCTGGTGCAAGTGTCATAGTCCTTTCCTCTTGAACGAAAAAGAACGTTTTGAAAAAGATAAGCCTTGAAATGTTGAATAGGTGAAAGATTAA